GATGCTCTCGTGATTAGCTTACTGGTCCATCCGCGTATATTAGAATCCGATTGTATCCTTGTTGTTTTGAACTGTAGATTACAGTTAGTGCACCTAAAACTTTTCTTTTGCGTAGTGCAGTGTGAATATAGGGAAGATGAGGAAAACCCCACGACAATCCGACCAAAAGCCAACATTCTCGTTCGTGTCCGATCAGGAGACTTCCTTCCCTGTCGAGCGCTACTTGATTCCGCCTCGCAAGTTCATCTCATCACATTGAGGCTGGCCAGCCAACTTCAGCTTTATCGGTCCGAATGCTCTGTAGCAGTGACTGGCCTCGGATACACCGATGTCTCTACGGATGGAGCATCAATTAATGGTTGCCTGAAGTCTCGCCTATCCACGTATTCCGTCTGCATTGAGGCAGTTGTGGCGTCTCACATTGCCGAGCGTCAACCTGGTCAGAACATTGATGTCTCCAACTGGAAGGTTCCTGCCAATGTGGTTCTGGCAGATCCAAACTTCCACAGAGCGCAGCGTGATCTGCTCTCAGTTGGGAAAATCCAACTAGGATACGGTCTGCCTCTTGTGCAGAATTCGCGCTATGGATGGGTAGTTTCTGGTTCCTGCTTCCTGAGCTCTACCTGCCACTCTTGCTTGGCTGAGGAGGCTAAGCTGCAGAACCTGAACGATCGTCTGGCTACCTATATTGACCGTGTGTGCAACAGAGACAGAGAATTCCCTCCTCAGCATTGAGGTGCAGACCACCAGGGACACGATTCCCGCGAAGCGACAATGTCGAGAACATTTTCGAGGCTGAGCTGCTGGAGACGCGTAGTCTTCTGGATGATACGGCCAGGAATCGTGCCCGTGGCAAGATCGATAGCAAGCGTCTGTGAGACGAAAACAAGAAGCTGAAGAACCGTCTGGATAAGAAAACCAAGGAGTGCAGCAGTGCTGAGGGAAATGCCCGCATGTACGAGTCCCGTTTTAATGAGCTGAGCAAAGTCAGCCTAGCCAATGCCGATCGGAAGAAGATTACTAATGAACTGATCGATATGACCAAGGAGTTGGATCGTCTGCTCCAGCAGTTCGATGGCAAGCCCATCGGAGAGTTGGGCTCGACTTGTGTTCGAATTGATGATCTAAACTCCAAGACTCACGATTTTGAGCTCGGACGTGAATTGGAGCAGGAACTAGATAACACTCGCGAGCGTCACGGCCAAGAGCTGGCTCAGCTCGAGAAAGAACTGATTTGACTGACCCATCAACTGCAGGAGTACCAGGACATCGGGTTCTTACTGGATTTGGAAATCGCTGCCTATGACAAGGACTTCTATGTGTCAGCTAGTGCCAAAGGCAGTGTGGAGAACAAGGAGATCGATCCCGAGGGCGAGTTCGTGAAGCATAAGGGAAGAACAAGGACAAAAATGAGATGGCCATTGGAGGCTGGCAGCTGCAGCGTTTTGATTAACTAGCGCGGTATTTCGACCATCTACAATTTAAATCCTTGTTCCCGTACTAAAGACAGCTGTTGGAAGTACAAGGCGTGCGGATTCCAGGCTGTGTCCGCTGCCCCTCAAGGACCTTGTTGAAGGGCCAGCCTTCAACGGAGGGAGGATGTTGGGCTAAGCAGCCAAAGCAAAGACGGATGAGCAGCGGCAGGTTTATCCACAGTTTCTAGTTTGCTTTGAATATCTAAGTTTCGCAAGCGCTTTACTGTTACTTTGTAGCGCATCCGCTTCTGGAAGCTTTTGAAGAATTGCTGTAGCTAGAAGCTGTTGTTGTTAAGCTGTACCTCTTCGCATTCGGCGTGGTTTTGTTGCGGAGTTCATTTGGTTTGATTGAACTCGTAATAAGTATTTGGAAATTGGACTGCCCCGATGTATGTATTATAAATCAATTAAAAACTCTTAGTTGCTCAACAACTACTTTATAATAAGCCGGAACATAGCAGGGATTGTATCATATACGGAGAAGTTGGCTTTCTCAATTTTTCATCATAATTTGCAACACTGATGCCATCGAAGAGATAAAACTAGGCTGCAAGTTGGAAAACAACAAAAAGTATCAATAATTAGAGACTCATGGCATGAAAACAATTATTGTCGCTTACTATCTACTACTCGTACCCTAACTCTGTATCGTCAAAGATACGCTGTCGGTATCCCAAAACCTATGTGAATATTTAAAGTCCAGAACACTTTAATCGACCAGCGGGTTAGAATTGAAAAGGTTTACAGAACGTTTACTAAAGGTTTAGTAAACGTTCCAATACATTGCTTACAATATCATCTGCCGCGGAATTTAAGATCTTTCTATTTCTATTAAAAAAAACAATGTTTAGGTGAAGGGCAATTGTGCCGCCGCTCGTCTGAGCTTAAGAGCATATCCGCGCTGAAGAGCGCATCCATGCTGATGAGCGCATCCATGCTGAAGAGCGCCTCCGCGCTAAAGAGCGCATCTGCCCTCGCCCCTCTCTGCACAATCTTGCACTCTCTCTCTCTCGGGTCCAACTGCAGCGGTCGGCCGTCAGCTATCGTCCGCTCTGGCGGTAGCGGCTTTTTCTTATATTAAGCTAGGTTAAGTCAGTTTCGTGTATGCAGCAGAATAAAGCTGACGGCCTTACTCCACGACGCCCCCGACTTCATCTTCTCTACAACAAAGTGATATCTTTTTGTGGCAACATCGTCCCCCTACATTTTGGTCCTTTGAGGCGGACTTTCTGGATATTCTGGATATTTTGGATATTCTGGATATTTTGGATATTCTGGATATTCTGCAGTTCCCGGCAGTGTTCCGCCTAAAGATAAGTCCGACATTTTTCCGTCTCCGTCTCTCTGCCGGTCTTCAGCAGTGGTCCGAACATTAAATTTCGTTTACACTGCTGCAAGATTTTGTTTTCCTTCCGTGTCGACTTCATATCCGAGTTTTCCGACACAACGGCAGTGTGAGATTTTCTACTCTTCTTCGTCTTCAAATTCACTTTTTTTGGAGCAATTAATCCGCGTAAAATTGACCAGGCATAAGGCATAATTAATATTGGCCAGCCGGTGTGAATTAGTTCCGAAAATTTCTAAATTCACCGAACAGTCCGCCGCTGGCGTAATATTTTTTCCCAATTAGTGTTGTTTTTTACACCACACGGCTTTCTGTTCCTCCAGTTATACAGTCCACTTATCAACGCACCACTGTGCCAACCTAGGCCCCACGTGCCCTTACATATATACAAACTTGCATGCATGTCCCTATATTTTCAAATATTTTCTGCCTCCAATTTCAGGAAATACATAAATTATAAAATTAAATTTAAATAAAATCTGTTTAAAAAAAACCCCACATCTATAAAACGCCATTTCACTACAAAGCCGTGATTGTGTCGCCTAAATTCTCAACCTTGTTGTGTTTTTTTTCTGTGCTGTTTTTTTCCTTTGGGGTGAACTACGTACAGGGTGCCGACGGCATACCCGGCTGCGTTACACTAAATTAAAAAAAAAATCAATTAATTTCGAAAATAGTTAGGAATTCAATATCTACGTACGAGCCACATTTATATAAATATACACATATAGATCGTCATCAATTCTTTTCCGAACGAGCACGTTTTTTCCGGTACTTGTCCATTTTCCGTGCCTCTAGCGCAGCTTCTACTCCGCATCAGGCAACATTCGCCTACAATCTCAACAAACCTCGTCTACTTCTGGGATGTTTTTGGTTCCTGAAGTTTTTTTTCGATTTGTGCCCCACACGACCTTCCTTTCGACATCGGCGCCGCTAGTGCCCACTAGTTCCTTGTGATCGCAATCCATCCGCGATCTCACCGTTCTCATCACATTAGTGTGACCGGCTACTGCTTCGAACGAGGCACCTATTGCGCAAGTCAGTCGACAAGCGCTGACCAGCGAATTGATTTTTGAGAATGCCCACGGGAGACGACAAAAATCCGCGTCCGATCCCAGCCATCAGTTTGGACACATCTCAATCCGCATCGCCGCGCCCGCCTCTTTTGAAGCCTAAGGCGACCAGGACCATTCCAAGGGCAAAGAGTGACGAATCCGTCAATACAATCCCCGGTCCTTCACAGAGGCAGACTCGCTCCGCTGAAAAAGTTCATCGCCACAACAGATCGAATTAGCCAATTTGAGGCTAACATAAATACCCCGGGCGCCACAAAAACGGAAATAGGCTCCAAATACATATGCGAAGTCCATCGAGACCAAATTCACTCTGGGAGAAGGTGGAGAAGTGCTATGAGAGCTGCTCCGATTTGCTAGCCGTGTCCGACGACAATTCGGCGACCTCAACAGTGCTGGAATTGAAGTACAGCTACTGTTAATCCGTATATTCAAGGTGTATTGCCCAGCGTCGGGAGAAAATTGCCTCCCAATCCACTCAGGCTTCTGTCAATGTCGACACGCCCACGTCTACAGGCTGCCGGTTACCTCTAGTGGATACTGAGGTCTTTGCGGGTGATTATCTTCGGTGGCCTACCTTTAGAGACTTGTTTACGGCCATTTACATACAGAACTCGCGGCTCACCCCGGTAGAGAAGTTGTTCCAATTGCTGTCCAAAACAAGTGGTGACACACACGCCATTGTTTCTAAGGCTCCGCTTACCCGTGGCAAAGCCTCACAGACCGTTTTGAGAACCGGCGGCTATTGGTCAATAGCCAGTTGAAGATCCTTTTCAACCTCCAGGTTATTTCTCAAGAGTCCGGGGTCGCGCTGACTGGAAGCCACCATTCAGAGTTATCTGACAGCCCTAGAAATGTCCGCCATCAATGTTGAGGCTTGGGATTGTCTCCTGGTTTCTATGATTTCCGCGAAGCTCCCCAAGGTCACACTTTCTATGTGGGAGCAATGCGTACATAATAACATCGACGACGTCAGGCCTAGTGGCTCCGGGCATTCTCCGCCAAGGTCGGGACTTCCTACTGCCCCTGCTCGGAGGCTCAATTCATACGAAACTCGAGTGGTTCCGGGCCATAAGGGCTGCGATCTCTGTGCGAGGGAGAACCACCCTATTCGCTTATGTCCGCGTGGATGGGTGCTCTGACTGCTAGACTCAGGGTCCGAAGCGACTTTCGTAACTGAACGATTGTTCAACCTTATCAAGCTTCCCTTCAAGACGATTCAAGCCCAAGTGTCCGGTCTTAATCACACCATTTCCACGCAGTCCACTAAATTGTGCCATTTCTCCATTCGGTCGCCGTCTTGACCCGGGCTACAATTAGAGACTGCAGCTTACGTTCTTCCGCAGTTAGCAGGAAATCTGCCATCATATCCGATTCCGCGGGATCGTCTCAAGGGGCTGCCCGACACTCCCCTAGCGGACCCCAACTTCTTTGAAAGCTCCCAAGTCGATGTGTTAATAGGAGCTGACATTCTTCCGTTCATTCACCTCGGTAATTCCAGGGCTAACATCTGTCGCTTCTCGGTCAGGAAACCATTTTTGGATGGGTGCTGACAGGCCCATTATCTCCAGCCAACCCTCGCAGCGTTTCCGTTTTTTCCACACGAGTTGCCCGTAGCCTCGGTGACTCGCTGGATCAGCTCCTCACCAAATTTTAGGAGGTGGAGGATGTGCCCACACAGATCAATTCGGAATCTGATTCAGTTTGCGAGCACAATTTTGTCCAGACGACTAGAAGAGACGAGTGTGGCAAGTACGTTGTGACGTTCCCCTTACGCGACCCCGAGCAGAAGGGTTCCGAGCTATCGGCTTCACGGTCCTTTGCTCTTGCTCAGCTCCTGCGTAATGAGCAGCGCCTGAAGAGGGATCCGTTTTTTCCACACGAATTGCCCGTAGCCTCGGTGACTCGCTGGATCACCTCCTCACCAAATTTTAGGAGGTGGAGGATGTGCCCACACAGATCAATTCGGAACCTGATTCAGTTTGCGAGCACAATTTTGTCCAGACGACTAGAAGAGACGAGTGTGGCAAGTACGTTGTGACGCTCCCCTTACGCGACCCCGAGCAGAAGGGTTCCGAGCTATCGGCTTCACGGTCCTTTGCACTTGCTCAGCTCCTGCGTAATGAGCAGCGCCTGAAGAGGGATCCGCCCCTTAAGGCCCGTTATGACTCGGTAATCCAGGAATACATCGACTTAGGCCACATGACCGAGGTCTCTCCCACGAGCAGTTACGCTACCTACTATCTTCCACATCATGACGTCTTCAAGCTCGGAAGCACGACCACCATGGTGCGGGTAGTCTTCAATGCTTCGAGCCCGTCCGCAAACAGGACCAGTGTGAACGACATTCTTTACGCGGGCCCGGTCCGACCTGACGATTCAAATCCTAAAGTGGCGATACTTTAGGTTTGTCTTCAACGCCGACATCGAGAAGATGTATCGGCAAATTTGGGTAGACCCCAAGCATACTCCGCTCTAACGTATTTTGTTTCGCAATCCCGATGGGGATATCCGCTGTCTCTGTCCATTGTGCTGTCTCGTAGCTCTGCCCGTATTTCCAAATCGAACTTCACATCAATTCTGATAACGCTGTTTTGTTTCTTCATCATAGTTCCGCCAGTCATATTCAGGTGCTCCACGGCCTTCGTCCGCCGCTCATCGGGTGCCGTCCACCGCTCGTCCGCCCGCGTCATCCGCGCCTAGGCAATTTTCCGCCTCTCGGCAAGGGACCCCGCAGGACGCGGCCGCTGCGCCCACCCTATCATCGCTGCTGCAGCGGTACAGCGTCAACGTGCGTCGACCGCGCTTGTGCGCATTGACACCGGGACCCGGATCTTTGACACGGGGGCCCTTATCGACCCGTGTACGCCCTCGAGCTGCATCGACGCGTGGGGGACGAATAAGTTTGTTCGGCCACCGTGTGTTCCAAAACGGATGATAGCGTTCGGCTGGAGGTCGTTTTCAAAATTACGTGCCTCACGTGCGCGTTCGTACGCCGTCTCGAGAGCTGAGCGAGGCGGTGCGTGCCCACTTCCGAGGCGTAACATTGGCGGATGAGCGGTTCTATCAGCCAGCCACGATCTCCGTTGCCCTGGGCGCGGATATATACACCTATACCTATAGTTTCACCTTTAAGAGTATAAACTTCCTGACGTCCTTTAAGCCAAATTTCAAAACGTGAAGCATCTCCTCGAAGAGATTCCGTTAAGCCAATTTTTGATATCTGCAAATGTCAATATGACAAAGTTTTAAATTAAAAATCAAAACGAAGATTTTACTTACAAACATTATGTTTACAAACGTTGCAAGAAATTTGTTAACTCTGTAACAATTATAAGGTATGTTTTGCAAATAGTTTACAAACCATTCAAACCCACTTCTTAAAATATAATTTATATTTCAAATATTACATATATAACATAAATATTCCATAAAATGTATTTTATTTATAAAAAGAGAACCAAATTCTTATTTTATAACTACTCCCACCGGTTATGCTAAAACTGCTGATTGTTCCTCTTGTATTTATTCTCGAAACTTCCTTAGCACCAGGAAAAGGACTACGGAGCCGATGCACACAAGGCTGATTGCAACTCCAGCTGCGACGGGTTATCTTAAGTGACCATGCTGATGCTATTTTATCATTAATCTTCTAGATGGCATTTAGGCCTGAAGCATTGGCATGCTTAGTAGAGTAGTAGAGTAGAGTAGTAGTAGAGTCATGACTAATGATTTTCAAATGCAAAGACGTCGGTTATTCTTTCATGTAATCCCTGCAATCCTAGGGTATAGGGTATATGAATGACTAATGTTTTCGGACGGTAGGACTGTAAGAGTGGATGCCTCCATCCGATGATTCGACCGTGCATTTATGCTAATAAAAGGGTTGTACCAACAAGCCTGTACATAAGGAGTTTGAAAAAGTAAACATATGCATTCTTCTTTCGCTTTATCTTTTTAATTAGTGTACTAAGGATACCTTCATTTAAAGTTGTCCTAATGGAGTACCCTCCCCTTAACGAGATCAGGCGTTCCTAGATGTGCTTGTATTTTCTCTTCTTTCCATAATGGTGTTAATCAGAGAACGGCAAGGGTGTATCCAAACAATAAGGGTACCCGAATCATTTGTGCGCTTACAGCACTTAGATTGTGATCGGCACCCTAAAATAACGTTTTTTGCCTTGCACTGATAATTTCGAATGTGCTCATACAGCCAAACTATTCTGTTGCACCAGACACACTTAAAGCAAAAAAAGAAAGTTCGAGACACTCATGTTCATGATGTCTTGATTACGTCGCGGAAAATCCTAAAATATTGGGACATTCTGAAGGGGCTAAATTCATGTAAAATTATTCGGTCAATCCTCAATGACCTGCTCATGCAAAACAGTTGAAGACACCCGAAACACTTATCCCAAAGCATGAGTGTTTCGCGCTCTCCTTTTTTGCTTTAATGTTTTAGGTGTCTGTGCAGTAAAATCGAGTAAATAGAATTCAGTGAACACCCAAAGCGATTTGTGCGTTAGAGTGTGTTACTCTTTTGTTGCTGTTTGTGAGAGCGACAAACACTCGAAAAGTATAATTGTGATTCGGGTGCCAAAAAGAAACAGCCTTGACGTTCTCTTGTATAAATATATAATATATTCCAGTGTCTTATTTTGCTTAACAAACACTCTCTCCTACTTTAAATATCCTGTTCTATTGAGAAATACCGTAACTGTTGGTTAGTTGGGCCTGTTTTATGGCTTGCCGGAAATCAATGGGCGTTGTATGAACAATTTCGGTCGGTAATTTCTTTTGCCTGTCTCTGAATGCAATGACTTATTATATTCAACTAGCGCTCCCGCCTCTCTTCGCTCCGATTCTCAAGCTTGACATAGTTTTCTAACGTTTGTACCATGCGCGGGCAAAACAAAATAAATAAAATAATTTTTGTTTAGGTTTCTATTTAATATTTATTGATATGCTTTGGAATATACAGTGTATCTTATTTTTCCATTAGGTGCAAAAATTAATCAAAAGATTTTCCGACGCGCGAGCAGTCAACCAATGTGAGAAGCGAGCATTTTCCAAATTTAGTCCACACACTTGCAATGGTTTGTCCTTGTGTTTTGTTGAAAGTCATTGCGAACATTTTTTCGGCGACTTTCCCGTTGTTCATGTGTCGCAGACGAAAGTGCCTGAGCATCGCGTACTCGATAACTTTCTAACTTACTTCCCGTCGTTCAGGTGATAAAGACGAACGGGTTTTAGCGTCATTCACTCGAAGACTTTCTAGCAATTATGCTCGTTTACCCTTTTCATTTACGCTTAAGATGTATATCGGCCAATTGCATTTCGCTTTGGGTAAAATTTTTTTCAAAGAAAATGCGTTCGTCAGTTAAAAAACTTTACAAAAAATTTAAGAAAACTAAAATCCTAAATGAATTTCAGAAAAAATCTTTATAAAAAGTTTAATTTAAATAAAAATAAAAACTGTTAAAAAAATGAATTTAGGAAAAGCTTTTTTATAAAAATGTGAATTGCAATAAAAATAGCAACTGCGAAAACAATTGAGCCATGTTCCTCTGTCCATCCGTCCGTCTGTCCGTATGAACGGAAGATTCCATGAAGATTCTTGAGGTCCCTAATAGCAACTGTTTTAAAAAATAAATAGTCACAAAAACTAACTCAAACTTGAATTTTTATTTCACACACTTAAAACTATTTTTATACCCATCAAAAAGTATGTAACAGGTAGAAGAAAGCGATTCCGACCATAGAGTATTTTTGATCAATATCAATAGCTAAGTCGATCAGGCCATGTCTGTCCGTCCGTCTGTCGGTCTGTCCGTCCGATCGTCTGTCCATATGAACGCTGAGATCTCAGAAACTATAAGAAATACAACGTTGAGATTAAGCATGAAGATTCTTGAAGTCTCTACAAGCGCAAGTTTATTTCAGAAGCCTACCACACCCACTCTAACGCCCACAAAACACGAAAAAATTATATTGAATTTAGGTATGTATAATCTTGAGATGGCAGCGCATCTTATGGTGGTACCAAGCTCGAAAGACGGTTTTCGCATTTTTTAGAAAAGCTGGTATGTTTGTAACTGAAAGTGATAGAAAGTTAGGACTAAGCATGTAGGTTTTTATGATGCCCCCAATGCAAATTGTATTTTTTATATCCAGCCACGTCCACCCTAACGCCCATAAAACCCGGAAAACCAAAAATGCAAAAATTTCGAGAACTATTACAGCTGGAAAGTTGTGTTAAAGAATATGTATTTAAGAAAATCTTGCCATGAGTTTTAATCTATAATATTATAGTGTATGTCTCCGTTTGACCTAGTATAACATATTTTTGTCAATATCTACCGATTTACCATTTTTTAATTCGGAACCGTTTTTAGGTATTTATGAAGAAATGTAGGTTACAAGGCCACACATGAATAGTGACTTCACAATCTATTAGTAAACATGCATTGTTGACAAGCGGTGGCGCTTTGTTCATTTCAACTGGCAAAATGAATATTTTACATATGTGTAATACCGTAACGGGTATCTTATAGCCGCGGCAATCGCCTGGGGCTTCTTCCTTATTCAACATAGGTATTTTGACTAACCATGTAAATAGTACCGCGGAAATTTTACAGAAAAACATCTTTTCGATAGACAGACAGATAAACAATTGCTCCGAATGATAAATCTAAATACACTAACAGTTAGAAATAATAGATTTATCCTTAACATTACAATACCAATTATCGACACCCGATTATATGTACTATCACACATTGATCTTTCTCCTCATGTAAAGAGCAGTTTATGTTTGAAGGCTGTGATTTATTTAAAACCAGTTGCACTACCACAATAAACAACCTGACATATGGCGAATACAATAAAATTTTAAATCGGAAATTATACTTCTTCACACCTAACCTACACATTAGCTTGGCTGGGGATTACAAAAATTGGAGTAATCTTTTTAATGGCTATGAGGGGAAAAACAGCGTATATCACTTGCGCAAAACCACCAAGTTATCTCGCTCCGACCATTCCTTTAATTTGGCGGTCACTTCAAGCCTGGTGGGAGGAGTTACCTACCCAACGAACCCCCCAACAAACCCTCTTGTGCTACCCTGTCGGCGACCGCCGATCGGTCATTGGCCGCCTATACCAACAAAAGTAGGAAGGAGGTAGTTTAGTCGCAACACTTGGTTTCTGACACCAAAACATTGGCACACATTTATACTCAATATATACATAACCCAAGCTGAGTAATAAACTTTACTCTTGGTTTTTAACTCTAACTGAACGGAAGCATTTATTATCTCTAAAAAGTAAAGCAGAATATCAAACGCTCCTAATACATAACTCGTGCGCAACGGGTGCCGTAACATGCTCTTCAAAGATTTTTACAAGTCAGATGCATGAAGTTACTTTCCAAATAATAAAAACGACGTTAGTAAATTCTGCGTAGTTGGAGAAAATGCCAGATTTGAACTTTATGTTAAAAATGATGAAATATTGCTGTGATTAACTGTCCCTCCTCAAAATCCTGCTTATCCGCATAGTTTTAGAAGTCGATAATATAAAAATTTTGTTGATAGTTAGATGCATGACCTATTGGGTATTAATAATTGTTTAATTACAAGATTATCATAGTTGCATGGTTCAAGCTCGGGGATGTAGATAATTTCGAACCTAGTCTTGTATTTTGCCTAACAATAATGTCCTAATTTTGTGACTACGTTTTTATGGCTTTCCTTTTTCTACCCGTTTCTCGTAGAGTAAAAGGGTATATTAGATTCGTGGAAAAGTATGTAACATGTAGAAGGAAGCGTTTCTTGATCAGTATCAATAGCGAAAACGATTAAGCCATGTTCCTCTGTCCGTATGAACGCTGAGATCTCAGGAACTATAAGAGATACAAAGTTGAGATTAACCAAGTCCCTACGAAGCGCAAGTTTATTACAGCATCCTGCCACGCTCACTCTAACGCCACAAATCGGGAAAAACTAAAATCCCAGAAATCTCAGGAGCTATTAAAGCCAGAATAATGTATAACTTATTTTTGTTAACATTTTGTTATTTCCCTATTTATGAAGAAATTAAAGTTATAAGGCCTCACTTGGTTTGTGACGTCACTATCAATTACTCAACAATTATTTTAAAATTGTGTAAAACAGTAACGGTATCTTAGAGTCGCGGCACTCGACTATAGCGTTTCCTCTTGTT